GCAAAACCAGAAGAAATATATCAAAACCAAAACCAGAACTGAACAAAGGCCATAACGAAAACAAAACCAAAAACAAAGGCCATAAATAAAACTTTGAAATTGAAACGCATTGTTTGGCCAGTGATTAAAAGAAATTTATGACAAACCGTCACCTTTGATGTTTTCGTCCCTTGATAAGTTTTGAGGCTTTCTGAAGGAGCTTTCTGAAGATATTTCTTTTAGTATATTCTACCGAATACCCAAATTTCAGCTTTGTTTCTCGTGTGGCTGAAAGAGATTGCGGGTTTGCCGGTGCACAAATCGATAAGGGTACGATTATTCAGGTAAATATCTAATATCAATAATCAAATTTGCATATTTGAACTTACAAATTCTAGGTCGATGCCTTACACTCTACAAAAATCGAAAGAAGTCTGGGGAGAGGATGCTGCGATTTTCGTGCCGGAAAGGTGAATGATTTGAAATGGACTTTATGCTTTTCTGAAACGCATACTTGCTGACATGAAAGCTTGATTTAAAGGCATTGATGCGTTTGGCAAACTGCTAAATAGAAAATTGTACTTTGTGCTCATGGAAAGGCAAGCTTTCTGGCACAGATGGGGTTTATAAAATTGTTGTCCAATGATCCAATGATAATTCAATAATTCTTAGATGGATGAATGCTTCTAAAGAACAACACCAAGCATATTTGCTCGTTTGGTGGAGGAGGGCCAAGGATGTGTGTTGGTGGGTTTTGAAAGGAATTTGAGGTAGAGATAGATCTAGAGATAGATCTAGATAGATCTAGACCTAGAGATTGATCTAGATCTGATCTAGAGATAGATCTAGATATAGATCTGAAGAGGCCAGGGAAGACAAGGTAAAGACAAAACAAGGCCAGAAGCCAGGTCTACGCTAGTCAGATCAACCCTATCTTCTGCTCTTGCAAATTGCCCTTGAAAATTACTTTTGAAAGAAGCTTTATCTAGTTCTTCTTTTCTAATTTAAACCCCGATATTCTAATCCCTTTTCTCTTCTAGGTAACCGCCTCGCGGTCACTGAAGAAAAAAATAGGCTTTAGCGCATACTCTTGAGAAAATACGAAGGCTGGTGCATGCGGAAAAACCACAGGTTTGCTAAATTTTGCTTCTAGTGTCCTGACTTCTTCAACTTCATCCAAAACTTGTCATTTTAGGAAACCCTCGATCTCCGCGGTGCAATCACGATCTCTCCCCTGTCGGTCGACGTCCAAATTGGGTCGGGAATCAAATTGAAATTGAAATCTTTGTACATAATTCGTCAAATAAACAAATAAACGTAAAATGAACTGTTTGGAAAGTAATCGAGAGCAAAACAGCGTTTTTGGCACCCTTGGGTAATTAAACCCACCGAGGAGCGTTTCCAGGGGTGGCTTCTATCCGGACCGTGTCCAAAAGGCCCTTTTCCCTACGAGCGACAGAGGAAAGAACGCGCCGAGCTCTTCGTTGATTCTTCATAATGGACCTTTTACAGTTTTCTTTGCTTTTCCGCGCGACTTCTGTTAAGTTAAACTTGGGTGAATTAAACCGCCTGAAACGGCCTTCCGGTCAGTTCTAACCGGACCGTGTGCCAAAGGCCGCTTTTTCTTACGAGCGTCAAGGAAAGAACGCACAGAAACTATTGGAGGTCTTTGTGCGTTCTCTCCTTCGTCGCTCGTAAGAAGCGGCGTCTGGCTACTGGGCAGCTGCAAGGAGGCTGGAAACTCGACTCCGAGCGGGTTTAATTACCTTGTGGTTTTATTGCAAAACATAATATGAATCTAATTCAGTTAAATTCAATTGAATATTTCTCTAGAATTATTGTTGTTTTTTGTGTTCATTGTTTTGTTCTTTTGTTTTTTTTCCTCCTATTCCAACACCTTTTTTTGCAATTCCCACAATTTTCCCACAGGTGATTAATTATTAAATTAAACCCGCCAGGGAGCGTTTCCGGCAGCTTCTATCCGGACCGTGTGCCAAGGGTCGCTTTTCTTATGAGCGACAGGGAAAGAACTTGCACAGAGCTCTTCATTGATTCTTCATAGCGGATCTTTAACAGTTTTCTTTGTGCTTTTCCACGATGGCGCGGCTTCTGACAAACTAAGCTCGGGCAACAGACTTGGGTAATTAAGCCGCCTGAAAAGGCTACCTGGTCACTTCTATCCAGGCGGGGTGCAGACGCCGCTTCTTCTTTTGAGCGACAGGGGAAAAGAACGCACAGAAACTAGTCTTTGAGGTCTTTGTGCTTTCTCTCCTTGCTCGTAAGAAAAAGCGGGGTCTAGCTCACAGGGCTGTTACAACCCGACTGGAAACTCGACCCGGCCGGTTTAATTACCAAGCTTTTGCAAAACTTAATATGCATCTGAATTCAGTTGAATTCAATTGAATATTTCTCTAGAATTATTCGAACCTTTCATTGTTTTCCTCTATTCAACACCAATTTTTTTCCAATTCCCACAATTTTTCCCACAAATTATTCGTGTTTCACTTGTTTAGATTCTTTTTGATGTAATTTGCATTTTATAATTTGTAATTTGGGAAGAATCCTATCTAAACTTGCGGAGTATTTTTTTTATAGCTAAATGTTTACTACACGTTTCATTGAAGTTTTGGAAAGATTTTCGAGAAAATTCACAACAAAATGCAAGCTACACAGGACAATCACGGATATTCACAGCAATTGAGGCGTCTGATGGTTGGCGAACAAGTCGGGTACCAATCTAAAAGAAAGTCACAGTAATCTAAGGGTACTTGTAGATCGTAGAAATCGATTATTTTATGCCAAAAATTGCTGACCTGTACCATCCGGATGCATCCATAAAGCCCCTCGGCGTGCATCGCATCCGACTCGTATCCGCCTGTAAATTTTGCATATTTTAGATTTGCATTTGCATAGCATATTCGCTTTTATTATTCTTTTTAGCTTGATTTTGAGATGATGTACAAAGCTGACCAATGTACAACGATTTATAGAGCGTTTAGCTGCTCAAGAAGTGCCTGGAGTGATCGTAGTCACTGTCGACTCGCTGTTCCACGGAAGATGCAATTTGCGACGCTCTCTAAAAACAAGGCTTTGTTGAAAATTTAGTATTGAGTCTCTGAGGTTGTTGAGAGCTAAAACTAGATATTTTTGATAATTTGATATCAAAATGAGACCAGAATAAGAACAAATACCAAATCAGAATTGACGAACCAGGAATGCACCTATCGCAATAACTTCTCTATAACGCGTCAGCTTTCAAAAACTACCGTAATCTTCTATTCTATCGAATTGATCAAGGAAGTCTGAATTACGACGGCGTTCCCCATTCCAATCTGGAGCCCAGGATTACGTTGGTCTCTCAAAGTTGACAGGTTTTAATGAGCCCTTCTTTTTCCAATCACTTGTGCACTGTGTGCGTCCCTTCCCGGTTAATGCACCCTCGCAAACTTGGGTAATTAAACCGACCCGCGGCGTTTATCGCGGCCCCTATGCAGGGACAGGTGTACCAGATGCCGCTTTTCTTACAAGCGACAGGGAAAGAACGGGCAGGGCCGCCTTCCTTTGTGCGTTCTCTCACTGTCGCTCGTAAGAAAAGCGAAATCTGGTACTACAGCACCAGTTAGAGTATTGTTTCCGAAAACATACCCCTCGGCCGGTTTAATTACCCAAGTCTTTCCTAAAGTTAACAGGGAAACCATAAAGGCTGTTTGCTCTACTTTTTGCCATCTCTTCACCTGAACACTTGCACAGTTGTCCATCTCTCAAAGCCAATCGTCGTCGAATGGATCAATTCGGCGACTCCCGATCCAAGATTGATCTCAAATTTTACTTTTCTCTCTTTTGTGATCAACAATTTCAAGAAATCGCTCGATTCCTCTTCCGGAGCCAGCAAAAACGAAAATCTAAATGAGATTTGATTAAAGAAAGTTGAAAATTCCTTAATATTTTTCAAATTTCGATACTAGATTAATGTGTCTATTGTCGGAAAAAATGGGGATTAATCGACCTGATCTTGACTCTCTTCTCCTTGATTGCTTCGATTCGTAAGGCTTGAACTCGAGCACTAATCTCAGCTGATCACCAGTGACACTAAAAGTTTTAAATCTTCACTTTGAAATTTTCTTTGACTCACTGTTGCATGTAGTCATCGGCGTAAAATTCGAAGAAATGAATACCCGCCAAAATTCATCGCCTCGATCGAGTTCTCCGTCTCTGTACAAATTTACATTTAAAACGTCGAGTTTTCAAAAAAGATAGCTACAGTACTGGACAATGAAATATGATATTTGAAAACGATCGTCACTTTCGCGCGTCACTGTAACTCCCTTGTCTTTGAGTTTAAACTATTAGTGTTATACATTTTCTGAAAGCTCTTTTCAAACGCTACACAATGGTAATATTAATATTTAGGAATACGGTAAAGAAAAGGGAGTTACAGACGCGCTGAAAGTGCGAAAGTGTTTTCAAATATGATATTTCATTGTCCAGTAGTGTATCCTTAATAATTTAATCACCCACTTTGTGCACACTTTACTCCATAGGTTGGCCAATGACAGAGACAACGAACGAGTCATATCTTGACGCGCATCCGCTCGGACATCCACCTGATGCACATGGATCTGAGCCGCATTCACTGCAAAAATACTTTAGATTATAGAAAATAGGTTTTTAAAGCTTTAAAGTCAATTACCGTAGCCCGACGGAGGGTTGGCTGGCCAAATGAATGTGGTGACCGTTAAGGACCACCTAAAACGATGAAAGGATATTTTATTGAGTTATCGAACTTTGTGGTTTCCTGTAAACGTGCGCTTTCTGGCATCTCTGGGTAATTTAACCGCCGGAGAAAGCAAGCGGATAGAGATTTCCAGCAACCCCTATCTGCACCGTGTGCCAAACGCCGCTTTTCTTACGAACGACAGGGAGAGAACGCACAAAGGGAAGGGCGGCGCTGTGCGTTCTTTCCTGTCGCTCGTAAGAAAAAGCGGCATCTGGTACCACCGTCCCTGGATAGGGGCCGGGGGAAACGCTGCTGCTCGGTTTAATTACCCAAGTTTAGGTTGCCGTACGATTCCTAGCATTCTCTTATTCGTTTATTCTTTTATAGTATTATTTTATATTCTATCATTCTCTATTATATTTTATATTCTTTTATTACTTTTTATTATTATTTTATATTCTTTCTTTTGTTAAACATTTAAATGTACCCTTTTCATGCATCCGTGAAAACCGTGAATCGGTAATAGATGACTGGGCGTTGCCTCATTGGATCCGCCCACTGTGGCCACTCCACCTCTCGAGCTCTCACCCACTGATCTCACCGAATGCAACTCGGATTCGATCCAAGATTGCTTATCAACCTAGAAAATTTCATTTCAGCATACTGTAGCTGAATTTTCTTTCTTTTTTTTTAGTTTTCAATGAGCTCACCTTCAGCAAGATTCCTTTTCCCGATCGCCAGACCTCAGCCTTGTGCCATGTGTGCAACGAGAGAACACTTTCTGATCTGAAAATTTGGAATACTATAGGAAATATTCGTAAAATCCATCGTATTTGGGAAATAAGTATTCAGCCGGCTGAAAGCTGAATATCTTTTTGCTCTTTGAAGGAGCGATACATGGTATGAATTTTGGGTTAAACTGATTATGATGCTCAGCCTTGTCGATTGAATACTTTTATTATTGCCTACTGTGTTGCCCATTGTACTTTCTAGATATTTTATTCGATTTTTCAATGTTTACCTCAACGTGATCGCATCGAAACCCATCGATGCGTGCACATTGACGAAACCGCTTTCCAACGTCAACACCAAATATCGTTTTGCATCCGACCAAGCGAAGAGGATTCCCTGGATAGGCAAAATTCTTCTTTATTCTCTCCCACAACCGGTCGCCTTTTGGCAACCAGACTTGGGTAATTAAACCGATTCGAGCTGTGTTTCCGGCGCCTTCTACCTGGGCAGTGTGCCAGACGGCGCTTTTCCTGAGAGCGACAGGGAGAGAAACGCACAGCTAGAGCTAAAAGGAATTGGTGTGTTCTTTCTCTGTTGCTCGTAGGGGAAAAGTGGCGTCTGGCACACTGACCGGATAGAAGGCGCTGGAAACACAGCTCGGATTGGTTTAATTCGGATACCCATAGCCTTACTTGTTTGGATTGTTTTTGATTGAAATTGTAAATTAGCATATCTATTATAAGACTAAATGTTTATTAATCGTTTTGCAAATTGATCAATTGTTTATTAATCGAATTGCAATAATTGTAATTGATCTAACTGTGGATAAACATTTTGATACCTGATTTTTTTGATGGTTTAAAGTGAAAACGATCTCGAGATAGTCCTCGATGTCGTCGGGAACGCCCAAAGTGACACGCGAATCGCCGGAAAACTCGACGATTCTCATCGATTTGAGAGATGGGCTGAAAATTGATTAGATTAGAAAAACATTACTGCACCAGAAAAGATGTTTTTACGTATTTGAGCACAAAGTACACTAGAATTTCTTAAATTTTCTCACTCAGAAGATCGTTTAGATCCAGAAGAAACTCTTTTTTTTTTTCTTTATTTTCTTTATTTTATTTTCTTCATTTTTTCTTCATCTTCTTTTTCTTTTCTCTTCATTTTTCTTTTCTTTTTTTCTCTGAATGTGTTTCGGAATCGAATTTCTTTGCAATTCCAACGAGATTTCTTTCTTTTTCTTTTCTGAAAATACGCGAATTTCTGAAAATTTAGGCAGAAAATCGAATAGAAATAAGAAAAGGAAATTTGAGATTAAAAAATTCGATTTTAGAAAAGATTGTTAGTAAATAAATTAATTAGTAAATAGTAAGCCTTATTACAAATTCTTATTACCAAAAATGCCTTGAATAAACTTTTAAATCGTCGATCTCTTTACAGTAATCCCTGCGATTTTTTAAAATAAATCTCTTTACAGTAATCCCTTTTTTTTGAACTAAAAACTTTACAGCATCGTCGCTTTGTCATTGATTTAGTCGAAACTTTCAAAATCCTCCGTTGTAAACAGATTAGCCCTTTGTTTATAGACTTTTCAAATTTAAACCGCGGTCAGGGCCCAGAAGTGGCTCATTCCTTTTGCAAATTCCCTTTGCTTCCAATGCCTCTTTATCAAATTCATTTCCCGTTAGAGCTTTAGAAAAGATTTAGAAAAGATTTAGGATAGAAAAGATTTTAAAGAAAAAAAAAATGACTTAAATGAGTGGAAATCGTTTCTGGATTAGCCCATTGTTTCATTCATTTCAAAAAAACGTTTTCAGTGTTTCTAAAATGGAATTTCAGAAATAAATGTCTCAAATTTTCAAAGTTTTCTTTTATTGAATGCTTTAAAGAGTTCTAAAGAGTTCTAAAGATATCAAAAGATCTCTAAAGTGTTCTAAAGAGTTCTAAAGATATCTAAAGATATCTCTAAAGAAGTTCTAAAGATATCAAAAAGATCTATATTGATCTCTAAAGGTCTCTAAAGCTCTCTAAAGATTAAAATCTTCTTTTAATTATGGAACTTGCTCCCAAACGACATACGAGAAATTCAGTCGCTTTTCATATTCAAGAAACGTATCGATGCTTTAGATCCAGTGGCTCTTTGCCGGAAGTAATTGGCTTATTGATTTCAGTATGTATTGTATGATTAAGTATCACTGTGCATTTCTCTATCATTTCTTTCACTTTATCGTTTGAATAAAGTATTATTATTAAATAAAGTTTTCCACGTTTTAGTGAACCTTTTTAGAGAAATCTCAACGTTTTCCTCTAAAGAAAACCTAATTACAGGACTTTTTACTGTAAAAAAGTCAAAAAATACAACAGATTATGAGTCTAGCTACAGTAATCCCTGCTAGAATAGTGAAATTAGAGCAGCCGGGCTTTGTGGTAGCAGTAGTAATCATTTAACTACAGAAATTGTTTAGTGTTTAGGTTTCAAGTCGTACTGTCACTGTCTAGTATATAAAATAGCATTGTCCGACCGTCTGTAAGGGCTTTTTCTCAACCGTCTTTAGGCTAAAACTGAATTTTTCTTAAGAAATCTCAAAATTAAATATAGTTTTGTCATTTAAAATAAAGAATTCAAAAGTGAGTGGGACTGGGGAGTCGAACCCGGACCGTGCAGGTTGTCGACGAGCGCTCTGCTGACTGCGCCACGTCGACACAAAAACCTCCTCCAGAAGAAAGCCCCATGAAGCGGGTTTTGGGTTTGTAATAGAAATTTTAACAAATCTGGTAACTAATGTAACTACAAATGAACTAACTACTGTAGCTATAAGGGAACTAACTACTGTAGCTACAAGGAACTAACTACCTAACTACTGTAACTACAAATGAACTAACTACTGTAACTACAAACGCTGTAACTACTAGAATAGGCAGTTCCGTCCCAAACCTAATTCCACCTTCGTTTTCTTGGCCGTTCTTTGACCGATTCCTCTGAAATCTTGTCTACAGGTAGAGCTCGAAATTAACTGCTTGTAGACAAAATTTCAGCTCAATCGATCAAAGAGCAACCAAGAAAACGAAGATGGAATAGGTTTCGACGGAATTTGCCCATTTCTAGTAACTACTTTAGCTATAAACATAGTAACTACCGGTAATTTGTTAGGCTTTCTCTTAACACAAACCGTTGCCGGAAATCTCTTTCGATAGAATCTCTTTCTTCAACAAAACCGTCTCAATCGTTTCACTTTTGATTGGCGCTAGGGTTTTCTTCACTTTCGGTACAAACTGAAACATTATCAATGGCTTTAATAGCTCGAAAATCAATTCGAATCTCAAAACTCACCTTTTCGGTGATCTTGTTTAGAGGCGCTGGATGGATGAGTGGCTCAACGTGAGGTTTCCCTAGGGAAATTGGAGATTAGATGAATTTTGAGAATTTTATGATCTTCTAGCTGAATTTTCTAGAGATTACTGTTATTTGAAGATGTCTATTCTTCGAAAATTTCAAGTTTTTAGTATTTTAAAGGGTATATTCTTTGTGAAATTGTGGATTTACAAATTTTTCTTTTAGTACCCGTCAAGTTGAGTCTGACGAATGTGCTGTCTAAGAGAATACCGTAGTAATCAAAGGGGTAAACCGGTGACGAAATAGAAAAATGTGGAAATGCGGAGGGTGAGCATACTGTGGAATGGGTTGAGGAAGAGATTGGGCAGGGATACGGTAATCGAAGAAGTAGTAGCTATAGTTTACAGTCATCCAGCTACAGTAGTCCAGTTCCAGAGATATTAGTTAAATTCCAAGGATACAGTAGCTTTTTAGTAGCTGTTAAAGTACGGTGGCTTGAACAATAGCTATAGTAGTCCAGAAGAATAGCTACAGTAATCCAGAAGAATAGCTACAGTAGTCCAGAAGAATAGCTACAGTAATCCAGAAGAATAGCTACAGTAATCCAGAAGAATAGCTACAGTAGTCAAAACGGAAGAGTCAGCCACAGTAATCCAGAAGAATAGCTACAATAGTCCAGAACAATAGCCACAGTAGTCCAGAAGAATAGCTACAGTAATCCAGAAGAATAGCTACAGTAATCCAAATGCGACAAGAATACGGTAGCTCTTTAAATAACAAATCGTTTACAATACTCAAGGAAAAGAGTTTCTTTTAAGGAGCCGATCGATACCGTAATCCCAAATCAAATAAAATAGCTATTTAAATAATAGAATACAGTAATCGAATCTCAAAAAAAAAAAGCCGAAATTTTCGAAATTTGTTCAAAATCAAATTCAGAAAAAGGCGTTTGCTCGATTTTTTTCTCAAAAAATGTTGAGAGATTTGGAGAAAAATGCAAATTTTCCAAGAAAATAAACCAAAAGAAAATCCTATTTAAAAAGAGAATTTCAGAATTTTTCTCTATTTTTCAAAGTCAATTTGAACGCGCTTTTTTCGGATTCGATCAAATGAGTTTTCAGGAACCCTGTTCATCCCTCCCCAAAAACCCATTATCTTCTAAAAGAGTTCCCTTTTTTTCGAATTTAATGAGAATTAGAAATGTTTTAAAGAATGTGAAAATAGCAGAGGGGTTTTCGAATAGAAAATAAATAGAAGAAGATAAATAGATGCCAAAAGCCTTTTTAAATAGAAGCCAAAAACCTTTCCGTTCAATGGTTTTCAAAAGATCGAATTTAAAGACTTTTAGCCAATTAAAGTTTGAAATAAATCCTTCCAATCGATTCTTTGGCCTTGAAAACCCTTAGATACAAATTTTCAGCTCTGCATCTCATTTGGAAGCCATTTACAAAGCAAAAGAAAATGCTGTAGTGATGAGCGAGGGGTTTTTGTGTGCTGGCGTAATCGCTCGCCTTCTGGCACACGCTCTCCGCTAGATAGCTGTTCCCTTTTGCATTTCCGGTTTGATTACCCAAGTTATGCAAAGGGTCTGAGGCCGTCGGCCCCTTTCGTCCGTCTGTCTGTCCGTCTGTCTGTCCGTCTGTCTGTCCGTCCGCCGTCCCGTCCGTCTGCTGTCCGTCTGTGCGCAGCCATTGGCAAAAGGGGCAGAATTTAGATTGCGTGGAAAACGCGAACGTTAGGGAGGATGCTCAGTTGAATTGGTTCTGCATTCTTCAATCAATTCAAAGAAGATCACTATATACTTCATTTTTCAAAGAAAATCTACACTAAATACTTGGTTTTTCGTTTGTAAACGCTTAGAAAAATGTGATTTGATGATTTTTAAGCATTTCTCCAACCCAAAAGCTTTACCATTTTCTTTCTAGCTTTAAAAGCTTTAGAACCCACTTCTCATTTCATCGGATCGATGGCCCGTTTGCAAGACGAACTCCTTCCACTTTCACCCTTCTTTGGCTTTTAATTTTCCCCCCATTTTTCCCATTCTTCTGAATTTTCTCCTCCTCGGAAATCCTTCTCCCCGTTTCATCACAGCACTCAAAGAAAATTAGAGTAAGAATCCCCGAAACTACAATTATACCCAATGTTTCCTTATTTGTCGCTAAATTTGTGCCAGTGCGCGAGTCGAAAAAGCGTTTTCCCGTTGATTTCCACCGGAAACTTGGGAAATCTTTTTTCTTACAGATATTTTCAGATAAATAGCTTTTTCTGGCTTTTTCCTTAAAGGTAGAATTGACTTAAACTACCGTATCCTTCTAAATTGATCGTTCAGAGACTACCCTCCTCTAAACTGATCATTCAAGGACAAGCAAATAAAAAAAAAAACAAAAAAAACACCCCTCTAAACTGATCATTTAAAAACTACCCTCTAAACTGATCATTCAAAGACAAGCCCTCTAAACTGATCAAATTCCTCATCCAAAAACTACCCCTCTAAACTGATCATTCAAAGACAAGCCCTCTAAACTTCATTCACAAACTTACCCTTCGCACACATCCATCCAGACCTTGATCGGATCCAGCTCGACCTAAAAATAAACAATTATTCTTTCCACATAAAAAAACTACATTATTGTATACATTATTGTATGCATTACTATATCCATTATTATATAAAATTACATTATTATAGATGAATTTAGTGCACCAAAGGGGATGCGTTTGCCAATTTTCAACCCCCAAAAAGCTGACTTTAGTCTTCAAAAATACCTTTAAACTACAGTACTTAAAAGCTAGAAGAAGATTAATAAAGAGAATAATTGAAGCCAAAAAGATTAATAAATTACTTAGGCAAAGATATTCAGCTATGGAATTATGAAAATTTGATTGTTTTCTCAAAACAAACCATCGAAGAAAATCGATTTCTTTTGTTGCTCCGCTTGGATGAAATTCCTCGATCAACGGTGATCCCTTTATAGTACTAAACATATTATAAAAATTAAGAACAATTAGCCGACTACGATAGCCTACGGTAGCCTACAGTAATCCCGCTAACCATTTATGAAGTCAAAATAAACCTCTACTTAGTAGTAGCTTATGGCGAAAAATTCTCGATCTTCGAAAACTGACTCCATTGTATTTTAGCCTATTTTTTTCTAGACTTTCTTGGTTTGCGGCTTTGTCTTTTGTCTTGTTTAGGTCTTGCTTTTTGTCTTGTCTTGGTCTTGTTCCTTGTCTGCTTTAGGGTTTGTCTCCTTGTCTTCTTTTGGTTTTGTCTCTTGTCTCTTATCTGGTCTAGAACTTTCGTTTGAATAGATTTAAGCTAAAATTAACGAATTTAAACCAAATAAAGCTATTTATACGATTTATCTTTGCCAAACTAAAGCGAGAAATTTACATTTATCTTGTTTTGTTTTGTTTTTTGAATACAAAAGTACCGTTTGAATAGTATTGTAAATGGCTTATAAATCTAGAGAAAAACGAGTAGCTAAGTGGCTGGGCACTAAAGGGAGAGAACCAGAGTACTGTCTAGTAGCTAGAGAACTAGAGTACCTTCTAGTATCTGGAATACTAGAGTAGCCTCTAGTATCTAGAGAACTAGAGTACTGTCTAGTATCTAGAGTATTAGAGTACTAGAGTAATCTAGAGCATCTAGAGAAACGCTTAAATAATTGAAATCTAGAGAACCGGTTAAGCAAACCAAACGAATCATTTCGTCTACCAATCTAGTTACCTTAAATTGTTGTGTCTCGTCGACCATGCGACTCCCCCATATCGGCCTTCATATCAGCGTACTCGCAGAAGCGTCCGATGAACCGACAAAATGTGCCATTCATCACTTTTAAACGGGCCCTCTGGAAACAATAGCTCACTTTAATAGCTTTATCCAGAGCTTTTTAAACAACCAGCTACAGTAAACGAGTTTCTCTAGTTTCTCCCTCTCTAGTTTCCACCGACCTATACATATCCTCAATGGGTCCCTCACCACAATCGAATCTAAATTTGTATTCAAAATGAATACAGTGATCAGCTTACCGTAAAATAATATTTGGTCCTTGAAAAGCTAGAGAAAGAAATCATCTCCTTCAAATTCTCCAGCAAATAGCAATAAGCTGTCTTGATTGGAGTTGATTCTAAAGATTCTAAAAGATTCTAAAGTACAGAAATACAGAAGTGCAAGTGAAGTACAGAAGTACAGGAAGTACAGAAGTACAATTGAAGTACAGAAAAGTAATCAAATTAGTCTGGAGAAGTCTAGTAATTAAAGCCTAGTAATCAAAGCCTTTTCTAGATTAACTACAGTAAATAGTACAGTAAATAAATCGTAAATAGTACAGTAAGTAAATAGTACAGTTAGTAAATAGTACAGTAAATAAATAGTAAATAGTACAGTAAATGAAAAAATGGGATACAGCTACAGCAAACTTGCTACAGCAAGTTTGGAGTACTGTGCCTCTTCATCGACTTACAGAAAGCCATCTGTAACTACCGGTTATTCAGATGAAGGTAAAGAAGCTTTAGATCAGTTACAGTAATCAAAATCTATCGATCTATCGATTACAGTAATCCAAATGACTTTTTTTCCTAAGAGAATCTTAGAGAATCTTAGAGAATCTTTGGAGAATCTTTTTTTCCTTACTTGAACTCAATGGTGACATTCGATTGAAGATAAAACGAGTCAGTAATACAAATGACTTACAGTAATACAAATACAGTAATCCAAATGACTTCTTTTCCTAAGAGAATCTTAGAGAATCTCTTTTTTTCCTTACTTGAACTCAATGGTGACATTCGATTGAAGATAAAACGAGTCATCAAGCAGAAATTCCGCATAACTTTCACCTAAAATCATTGATTTTAAACAATTTTAAACATTAATTTTAAAAATCAAACTAATTTCATTTAAATCTTTCTGTTATAGTTTTTATTTAAAGCTTTTCCTTTATCAAAAATTACCATTAAATCTCAATGGTGGATCTTTATCAACAGGCAACAATTGAATCGGTTCTCGATGAGCTGCTGGCAATGCAGTTGTCTGAAAATAGCTTAAGTTTAGATGCTCTAGCTTAAGTTTAGATGCTCTAGCTTAAGTTCAGATGCTCTAGCTTAAGTTCAGATGCTCTAGCTTAAGTTTAGATGCTCTAGCTTAAGTTTAGATGCTTTAAAGCTAACTTTTAAAGCTAATTTCAACTATTTCTAGTCTTTTCTTTGCTTTAACAAACCGTTTTCGGACTTGTGAGCCGCTCTGTTGGCCGATCGCGAGCCGTGCTTTTCGTTGCATTCACTGAAGGTTTAAAAGTAAAATAATCTTGAAAAATTGAACCCTAAAGCCTGTAAAACAAAGCAGAAATCTCCTCCAAAGACAGCCAAAGTAAGCAAAGCAAAGCCAGCCATCCAGATCCCTGACTTCTTTGGCTTTACTGCTAACCCTAAGGATCAGACCAATCTTTTGACTCCGATTAGGGTCTAGATTAGGATCAGACCAATCTTTTGTCCTGCTAACCCAATCTTAGTGCTGACCCAATCAACCAAATCCTTAATATTCCAACTGGATCTTCGTTAAAATTTAGAAGAAAGAACAGACTAAGTACAGGCTAGATTCTAGACCCTAATCGGAGTCAAAAGATTGGTCTGATCCTGGCTTTGACCCAGCAAGACTGAGAACCCTGACAGCAAGATTTCCCCACTCCAAAGATAAATACTACTTTCATCTGTAGTTTCCATAGCCAATAGAAATCTAATTGTAAGATTTCACAGGGCTAGAGAAGTGCTCATCTAGAATTAGAAGTATTACAGTTACAAAGTGTTCAAGGTTTAGGTTCAAGATTAGCCATTTCAAATGATTTAGGAGTTAGCTTAGCTTAAAATTTTATCTATTTGCGCAACAGGTTTTAAATTTTTAAAAACCAAAAGTGTCGACACGAGCCGGGGAGTCGAACCCGGGTCGTATGGACTAGAGACAAGAGCGCTCGCACTGCGCCATCTACGGAGCAAGGCGGGAGGTATGGGCTAGGAGATAAGTCCGCTCTGTCATCCATACTGTCACTGCCATCCACAGAGAGGATGGCCGAGTGGTTAACGCGCGGGTTTTCAAACGAACGAAAGAGCAAGGTGGCGGGTTCGGCTTCTCTCTTCGCTGTAAAGCAGCAGCAAAGCTTCAAAAACCTCCTCACATCTGCAGGATAGTCCATCATCAAGCAAAGTGTGATCATTCCAACATCCACATTCGTAAGTCTCTTGTGTGATCGTTAAACAAAGCTGTTCACAAAAAGGAGATCATTGTCAGCGCATTGACCTAGAAAAAAGCTGGTTTTGATTTGAAAATTCTTTATCTAAAGTTATCTAAAGTTATCTAAATTTTGTTATCTAAAATTTACAGTGCTTTATTTTACTAAAACTCTTTTTCTTTTGCTATTTAACTTTTGAAAATATTAGTGCTTTCGAACGTCTTTTTTTCCGTAAGATTTTTCCCTTAGGGAATTTCCAGAGCTGACTTTCAAGAGAAGAAAAGAGGAGAAATATGAAGAGTACGTATTACTTTTAAAGAAAAATAGTTTTGTTCAAAGAACAGCTTAAAACATGGTCAATTATGAAGTAGTAAAGTTTTACTATAAATAAAACATGGCCAATTATCAAATAATCATTATTTATAGCCATAGAAAACGCTAAAAAATTCGAAATTTCAAGTCAAGCTCGTTATTTTTTTTGAAAAAGTTGTAGAGGTAAGAAAAAAAGTCAAATTTCATCACATTTTTCTCTTATTCTTTGTTTCTTTTTCAGATTTCAAAGTTTCAAAGTCGAAAAAACCACGTTTTTTCCGATTTTCTAGCTTTTCATAAGTTTTCTTTAGTTTTTTTGAGTATATAAAGTTTAAGTTTGTTTAAAAATTGCTTCTACAAGTCAAATGTAAATAAAAAATTCAATTTTACAACTTGAAACGAAGTTAGAGAGCCAGAT